CCCGTGGGGGGGGGGGGGGGGGTGCTCCAGCTCTGTCCGGCATCCCGTCCAGCTCACTGATGTCACTGCATGCCAGACAGAGCATGCTGCTACACCCCCTCCATGTGACCCTATGCCTCATTATAGGGACGGCCCTGGTGATTCTGCTCAGCCAGTCGTATGATTCGGAAACCACAGCCAGCCCCCGCACCACTGCAGCAGCAGCAACACAGCCTGTCCAAGACCACACCCCCCCCCAGTCTTCTGATTGGACAACAAAGGAGCAGCACACTGCTGAGCCATCGCTCTGCCCTCCCACAGTGACCGCTGGTATGAGGACCGGGCCCGCTACGCACACTGGCTGCATCCCATGATTGTACTGGTACTGAATGCTGAGGACCGGGCCTGCTACGCACACTGGCTGCATCCCATGATTGTACTGGTACTGAACGCTGAGGACCGGGCCCGCTACGCCCACTGGCTGCATCCGATGATTGTACTGGTACTGAACGCTGAGGACCGGGCCCGCTACGCACACTGGCTGCATCCCATGATTGTACTGGTACTGAACGCTGAGGACCGGGCCCGCTACGCACACTGGCTGCATCCGATGATTGTACTGGTACTGAACGCTGAGGACCGGGCCCGCTACGCACACTGGCTGCATCCGATGATTGTACTGGTACTGAACGCTGAGGACCGGGCCCGCTACGCACACTGGCTGCATCCGATGATTGTACTGGTACTGAACGCTGAGGACCGGGCCCGCTACGCACACTGGCTGCATCCGATGATTGTACTGGTACTGAACGCTGAGGACCGGGCCCGCTACGCACACTGGCTGCATCCGATGATTGTACTGGTACTGAACGCTGAGGACCGGGCCCGCTACGCACACTGGCTGCATCCGATGATTGTACTGGTACTGAACGCTGAGGACCGGGCCCGCTACGCACACTGGCTGCATCCGATGATTGTACTGGTACTGAACGCTGAGGACCGGGCCCGCTACGCACACTGGCTGCATCCGATGATTGTACTGGTACTGAACGCTGAGGACCGGGCCCGCTACGCACACTGGCTGCATCCGATGATTGTACTGGTACTGAACGCTGAGGACCGGGCCCGCTACGCACACTGGCTGCATCCGATGATTGTACTGGTACTGAACGCTGAGGACCGGGCCCGCTACGCACACTGGCTGCATCCGATGATTGTACTGGTACTGAACGCTGAGGACCGGGCCCGCTACGCACACTGGCTGCATCCGATGATTGTACTGGTACTGAACGCTGAGGACCGGGCCCGCTACGCACACTGGCTGCATCCGATGATTGTACTGGTACTGAACGCTGAGGACCGGGCCCGCTACGCACACTGGCTGCATCCGATGATTGTACTGGTACTGAACGCTGAGGACCGGGCCCGCTACGCACACTGGCTGCATCCGATGATTGTACTGGTACTGAACGCTGAGGACCGGGCCCGCTACGCACACTGGCTGCATCCGATGATTGTACTGGTACTGAACGCTGAGGACCGGGCCCGCTACGCACACTGGCTGCATCCGATGATTGTACTGGTACTGAACGCTGAGGACCGGGCCCGCTACGCACACTGGCTGCATCCGATGATTGTACTGGTACTGAACGCTGAGGACCGGGCCCGCTACGCACACTGGCTGCATCCGATGATTGTACTGGTACTGAACGCTGAGGACCGGGCCCGCTACGCACACTGGCTGCATCCGATGATTGTACTGGTACTGAACGCTGAGGACCGGGCCCGCTACGCACACTGGCTGCATCCGATGATTGTACTGGTACTGAACGCTGAGGACCGGGCCCGCTACGCACACTGGCTGCATCCGATGATTGTACTGGTACTGAACGCTGAGGACCGGGCCCGCTACGCACACTGGCTGCATCCGATGATTGTACTGGTACTGAACGCTGAGGACCGGGCCCGCTACGCACACTGGCTGCATCCGATGATTGTACTGGTACTGAACGCTGAGGACCGGGCCCGCTACGCACACTGGCTGCATCCGATGATTGTACTGGTACTGAACGCTGAGGACCGGGCCCGCTACGCACACTGGCTGCATCCGATGATTGTACTGGTACTGAACGCTGAGGACCGGGCCCGCTACGCACACTGGCTGCATCCGATGATTGTACTGGTACTGAACGCTGAGGACCGGGCCCGCTACGCACACTGGCTGCATCCGATGATTGTACTGGTACTGAACGCTGAGGACCGGGCCCGCTACGCACACTGGCTGCATCCGATGATTGTACTGGTACTGAACGCTGAGGACCGGGCCCGCTACGCCCACTGGCTGCATCCGATGATTGTACTGGTACTGAACGCTGAGGACCGGGCCCGCTACGCACACTGGCTGCATCTGATGATTGTACTGGTACTGAACGCTGAGGACCGGGCCCGCTACGCACACTGGCTGCATCCCATGATTGTACTGGTACTGAACGCTGAGGACCGGGCCCGCTACGCACACTGGCTGCATCCCATGATTGTACTGGTACTGAACGCATGACTGACAATGGCCGGGGCGTAGTACAGAACGAGACCTCCGCGCGCGGCTCACCTGCTGGTTCTGATAGGCCGTCACTGTGGTGAACTCCGTCTCCTTGAACGAGAAGGTCTTCACCCCTTCAGCCGGCAGCGACTGGATCTGCGACAGCTCGAACCTGGAGTCCCGGACGATGACGTGGACGCGCGGCTCGTATTTGTGCATCGACTGCAGAATGATCTGGAAAGTACAAAGGGAAGGTCAGAGATTCCCCCCGTCACTCTCTGACCGACGGGCGACTGAAAACTGAAATCGCTGACATTACAGAATGCATTATGGCAGTGAGAGATCTGCAGGTTTGCAGCGCTGGGGACCCGGGGTTAAATGCCAGCCGGATCTGAATGGAATGTGTACATCCTCTCTGCACATACTCCTCACACACGGCGCCCATCGGAACAAGGCGGCGTCTGAATGTTCCGCTGGGATTGGCCGAGGCGCATTTATTTTCACTGAGATTTCCATCTGAGAGAGTCAGAGAATAACATTGAAACTGAAGCGTCCTTCATTCCGGAGACAATTCCGCCATTTACTCCGAGTCTCTTAACCCCTTCATGACTGAGGCCCTTTTTTCAATTTTTGCACCCATGTTATATTGCACATTTTAGGCCTGAAAATGACGTAAAACTCCCCAACATTATATATTTTCTGAATGCCAAGACCCTATAGAATAAAATGGTGGTAGTTGAAAATTTTTATGTTGCGCAATATTAGCGCAACTCCTTATTAAACCCCAAAATTTAGTGACAAATTTAATTAAATGCCCCAAAACACAACAAATTACCCATTTTTTTAAATGAAATATAAAAGATGAGGTTACAACGAGTAAAACGATACCCAACATGCCCAGTTTACAGATTGCGTGCGACCGTGAAACGGCGAAAAACTGCAGTACCCCAAAAAGTCAATAAAAGACACTTTAAAAGCCCCCACAGGTCATCAATTTAGA